TGCCTCAGGGACCATTCCTCACCTGGGGTATCCTGTCCGATGTGCTGTTCCTCCAGGTCGACAAGATTGCCTGACTTACTTTCTCCAGGTCTCTGCGAGGGGCCATCTTTGCAAGGGGCTTCTCTGGCTTACTTACAGGAAAGTAGCTCTGCGCCCAGCCCCAGCTGTTACCCATCTTTCCTGTATCCCCATCCTTTGACGATACCATAAACCTCTTCATCGTCATCAGGGCCACGTGGGCTGACTTCTGCTGAGAATGTCTTATTTCTCTCTTCTCTAGATTATGAATGCCAGGGAATAAAAATTACAGTTGTGTGTGTGTGTGTGTGTGTGTGTGTGTGTGTGTGTGTGTGTGGCATTAGCTGTGGCTTCATCACCGCCTTGTGCATCATAGACATACAATAAATATCTGTTTAATGAATAAAAAATTAACCAGTGATTAAAAATGGACCCTGTGGCAACTCTGACTTCCTCCTATGTAAATTACTTCTGTATGCTTTTCAAAAATATGTATTAGTAATTTTCACCATCTGAAAGGAATAGTTTTCTTAAAGCCAGTCAAGGTGACTGGCAAATGTAATCCACTAAGCCTGAGGCTGGAGCATCACAATGACAATGACATTGAATCCAACCTGAGCTGTAGAGTTCTAGCTTAGCCTGGCCTGAAGTAAAACCTGTCCCTTACAAAGGAAAAGATTTCTTTAGAGTGACATAAAATATAATCCTGGTGACTGGATTCTCCATCCTTCTCCTTTGATCATTAAGCCATGCTAGGTATTGAACCTGTGACTTTGCCCGTGCTAGACAAATGCTTTTCAACTAAGTTGTAGCCTAGCCCATTCTAAAACTTTTATTTGGAGATAGGGATCCCACTCAGTTGTTCAGACAGGTGTTCACCTTGCTCGTAGCCCAAACAGGCCTTCAGTTTGCACTTCTGATTAGCTGGCAGTATAGCTCTATACCACAAGTCTCAGCTGATTATTTGTTCTCCATATCTTTTTAAAATATATACTAGGAATAATTACTTCTTTCCCGTAGAGTCGCAGTGCTCTTGAAGCCTTCAGACTTTCATTAACAATTTTCCCAAGATGCCCTGTAAAGGCATTTATTTTCATATAAATAAATAACGGGAGAGAGTAGCATCGTGAAACTCTATCAACATCAGATGAAGAAATATTACCTAGGGAAACATCATGCCAGCTCTTGTCATTTCTCACGGCACTCTTAAAAATATCTGTGCTCAGATAGAGCCTTTGTGTTTCCCGTTGCCTTCCTTGCTACTCCTGTGAACTTCTTGAGTTCTGTGCTTGGCAGTGGTTTTGTTTTCCTTGGACCAGCATCGTGCAACATACTGCTAGCTGAAGGCTGTGATGCAGAAATTTATTATTGAAAATAAGATGGAGAGAAGGGGGAATTTATTCTGTAAGACGAAAATGACTCAGTGTCAAAGGGCTGAGATGTTCTAAATGCTTCATGTGACAAGCTTGTCTCTTTTGAAGAACATGCAGTTTGTCTACAGGAATAAATTTATCTTTGTTTTACTCATCTTGGTTCATGAGAACTGAAAACAGACACAAGGGAATTCCTGCTCCCTCTCTCTCACGATTTCTTCATCCTATGGAAAGATTTTTGCCTGCCATGTGTAGGCTTAACCTTGATGACCTATGTATCCTCAAACCTTCTGGTAAGATACTTATCAAAATGTCACTCCTCCTAGAAGAAATCACAGTGAATAACCAGGGGAAAGTTTTTAATAGATGGTGACAGATTAACAGTTTTCTCTTTCTAAGTTAAGTAGCCATGTATTCTTAACTAGACCATGCCTTTATACCCAGAGCTTATGTATTTTCCAGAGCTCACCTCTTTCTCTTATATTTAACACATCATAAAGCCATGCACCTTCCTCTCTCCAAGGACTGTCTCAAACGGAGTTAATCCTTTCAGATAGTTCTTCCAGAATTGCTGAGGTATCCTGCTGCCGTTCATTTATCTCAAAGATTTAGTCCATATGGGATAGATTGGAAGAAGAAAAACGTCCAGTTTCTACTTCTGTTCCTTGTTGTCCTTGGCCCATAAATGTGTTTTTTTTCCTTTCTTTTTTTTAATCTAATTCCCTGGCTACTTTGATTTTTCTGGGAGGTAACACTAAATCTATCAGATTGATCAAAAGAATATCTGACTTTCTTGTTGACAGATAAAAAAAATAGTTTGTACTTCACTCTGAAATCCATTGGCTTTCAAATGTATACATGCTCTATTCCTTAACAGTCGTTTTAGCAATATTTCCACTCACAATCACTAGCCTAGAGAGTGGGCTGCAGAAAATCTTAGCACTTTCTAAAACCTTTTGTCCCTTGGTTCTGTTTTTCAGGAATATTTGCCACTGTTTCTGCAATAAATCCAATCACAGAAAATACTGTAATAAGCCCCATGTACTCAATACTGAAATAATAAATAGTAATTTGAAGTTAAATTACTTTCATTAAAAATAGAATTTAAGGGTTAAAGTCTTCAACCCATGGGGAGAAATGTCTAGTTAATTTTCCTTGATGCCCTCCTTTTTTAAAGACCATTTCTTTATCTCATTTATCATATTCAGATTTGGTTGCTTTTCATTTATATTTTACATATGCTATAGAAACCATGTGTAACTTTCAATGACAATGAAAATAGTAGCAGTAGTCTACATTAACTAATGTTGATAGCACAGTCAGGGGCTGGTGAGATGGCTCAGCAGTTAGGCCCTGTTCTTATAGAGGCTCCGGATCAGGGTCCCAGAACTCACAGGCAGCTGACAACTGTCTGTAACTGATTCTCCAGGGGATCTGACACCCCACACTGGCCCGTGCAGGCCTCTGCGTGCACACGGCATGCATAAGCTAATGAAGGCACACACACACACACACACACACATACACTCTCTCTCTCTCTCTCTCTCTCTCTCTCTCTCTCTCTCAAATAAAAATAAATAAATAAATCTCAAGCAAACCACATTCTTAGTCCATACCTTTTAAATATAACAAGTCATATACATATTCATAATAGAACAAAATGGAATTCATTTACACTAATGGCCTCTCATCAGCCTATCATATGGTGCTGAGAAATTGTTGTCTCTGAAAGATAAGGCACTTGGCAAATTATAGAGTTTTATTTTTTTTCTAAAAGAAAAGGCCAAATTGAGACAGTGAGTTTTTAACAGTATTTTTAAAAGCTCTGATTTACAAAGTATTGAGTTGCTATTTTTTTCTGTAGTTCATGAGGGCTCAAATGAGTATGCAATGGAAATAACATCATTGTTGGTCTGAAAACATCAACATATGTAAGGGATCAGTGGCAGAGGAGAGGAGAGATCTCATGATTTTCTTTCTGGTTTGTGAAAAACATTGCCTTCTTGACCTGGTGTCACAGGCAAATAGCCTTTCTTTAATCCATGGAATATAGATTATAATTCCCATTTAGAAAATTAATTGACCTGCGTTTATTGTGGTAGCCATGTGTAGCAGACTTTGCCAAGTTATTCTGACCCCAGTGGCTTGAAGTCATTAGTTGGACAGGTGACAATCATAGGAGTCCAGCCTCCTATAAAGTAATCTCTCCCAAACACGTTACTAAGTCGTTCCACCACCAGCTAGAGCTCACTTTGTCATGTCACCAAATGTTCTGTACATAGCCTTTCACCTTCCTGCTATTAGTACAAGCCAATCCCAAGGCCACAAACAGGCTGACAACTGAAAGGTTTCAAGAATTGCTTTTGATAGTTCTAGAGAATAAGTAATTAAATGGCTCTAATTTAAATATTTATAAGCCACACCAATCATTTGATTGATTGATTTATTAACATTTGTGAGTTCGTCAGTAATTTTAAATTAGAATTAATGAGCATTTACCAGAAAAAAGGCAATGCCCATAAATCAAAAATTTAAAAATTAAAGCATTAAAGAAATATGAACTGTGTGAACATTTAATTTTGCATAATGGTTAGTTGGATAATTTTGCCTAAATCATGTGCTAGCCAAACTATAATTAAATCATTACAATGACTCTGCTGAGTACAGTGGCCAACTATGTCTTGTAAAATGAGTAGCATAAATTACCTTAGTTTATTTTTGGCTTATCATATCACAAGGATTTCTCATTCAAATATTTTTTGCCAAAGATTTCTAAGTCTAATTTTAATTACAGTCTGTATTGTACTCACACTATAACTACTGGCTGATTTGTCTTCTGTTGGATAACAGATTTTAACATGTTGTTACTGGAGTTTTATATTTTGATTTACTTAAAGTAATATGCTTTTCTAAGACTTTTTTATTTCTGTTTTCCGTGTATGATTTTTTTTTTCTGCATGTATGTCTGTGCACCACGTGTATGCCTGGTATCATTGGATGTCCGTCAGATCCACTGGATTTAGAGTTTAGGACAAGTTGGTTATGAGCTACCACATAGGAGCTAGAACTGAACCTGGGTCCCCTTTACGAGCAGCAAGTGCTCTCAACGAATGAGCCATCTCTCCAGTCTTAAAGGGATAGGAGATATTAAGAACAGTGGATTTGCATAATTATATATACATGCATACTTGAAAATTACTAAAAAAAAAAAAAACTTGGTCGTCTGCTTCCTCTTGCTGACAGCATATCACACAGCCCTGTTGCGTGACTTACAGTGTTTATTTCCCTGAGTAACCACAGGCTTACTGACATGAAAGTGAAGCTTTGTACAATGTGACATGTGTTTAGAATTTCCCCGGCAAAGAATAGTAAAGCCACACATAGCAGATCCTTCCTACCAGAAATATTCAGATACCTTTATTACCAGTATCTTTGAAATGCTAGCTATCAAGACAAATTCGTGTTAATTTACTCATGGTATCTGTTCAATCCTGTTCCTATTAGAACACAGATTTCAGCAGCTTAATTATTCTCTAGAAGCAAGAAGAAAGGTATTGGTGACGTAACATACGCATTTAATTTACCATAGTTACCCTCTTGTCTTCACAGCTTCTGGGTCATTCAGAATGGGACCACAAAAGAGGGCCACGAGGATCCCAGGTAAATGTCCTCTCCTTCAATTTTCCACCTTCTGTTTCTTAATGATTTGAAGAATGAGGATTGTGTGAAATTCAAGAAATAATAATCAGCAGGCAGAGGAAGAGGCGAAATAATCATGCCATTTGTTTTTATTTAAGTTAGCTGTAATTAAAGTCTGGGTTTCAAGACCCACAGGCAGATGTCAGTCTTTTCCTCCGGAGACCTTCCTGGTTTCCCAGATTGCTCCGTGTTTATGTGAATGTGAACTTTGTATTCATCTCGACTCTGCAGAATGCATTTTGATCAACGGCCCACTCTCTTGATTTCATTCACTTCCTTTGATAATTTTCCATGTATTTTCTTTCTCCCCTCCTCTATCTTCCTGTTTCTGGTTAAAAATTCTGAAATATAATCAGGAGTAAACTCTGAACTAATTAGAAGATTTTTGTCTCTGAATTAATTGTCCTTGTCTAAGGAAAAAGAAAGATGAAAGGGCCTATTATTTTTGAAAAGAAACAAATTCTAGACCTTTCTATATTACCAGACTGTTTTCATTGTCTCATTTTATGTCTTAGGCAAAGAGAAAAGCTTCCATGACGCATTTATGCTTTTTAATGACCTAATTAGACAATGTGGATATGTTTTTCTTCCATAATTACATTGCCTGACAGAATAAAGGCTGTGTTTCACACTCAGAATATTCTTTCTCCTCCAAGTATATTTTGTAAAGATGTAGAAAATGTATTTTTCTTATAACAGCCTCTATTAACCTGACTGTAAACATGACCAAAATAAAAAGTAGAAATTCTTAACTCTGGATTCGTGTTTCTGAATGTACGGTGCAGTATATGTATGTTCTTTGTCAAATGCAGGCTGCTCCTGACTGTATTTCAGGTAGATATATGTGTATGGGTCACCCCTGTGTGTGTGTGTGTGTGTGTGTGTGTGTGTGTGTGTGTGTGTAACTGTTCACATAGGACACAGGGAAAATGAAGTCAAGTCAATGGATGGTTTCACTTCTGCTCTTAGAAGCTATGAATTTTTTTTTTTACTTCAACCAATGTTTATTTAATACTTTTTAAAAATAAACTTTTATTAAATGAAATATTTCTATTGACAATATTTAGGTAAAATATCTTATTGTGTATATAGTTTTAATAGCAGTATTATAGTGAAAAATTTAGATAATAATGTGAATCTATTTTCATAGAAGCTGTGATCCTTTTTCGATGCCAGTTGGGTGAATAACTAATATAAACATTCTCATTTGAATCGGGATTATCCAAAAGACTGTGTCTTCTGCTTTTTTCTCTTCTTCCATTTTCTCTGGTACTTCTCTCACTGTTCACATCTATAATATCTTAAGCCATAATTTCCTTCAAAATTCCTGTGGATAATGAATTGTTTAGATTAACAGAATAAGTGCTTTGCATCTTTATGATTTTAAACCAAAATAAAAAGAAACAGCACATGACTGCGATATGGCTCAATAATTAAGAGAAATAACCAGTCTTGCAAAGACCTGAATTTAATTCCTAATATCTCCATTGGGTGAGTCAAAAATGCCCGTAACTCCAGCTCCAAGGAATCTGATGTCTCTGGGCTCCAGGGTCTCTCACAAATATAAAAATGCACACATCCACATGATTACATATTTAAAAGACTTATTAAAATAGTTAATAAGTAAACAGCACAAAGTAAGTGTTTCTGATTATTACTGCCCAAATGCTTGATGTTCGAAATAGGCAAGTAGCTCGTTGAAGACATGTACTGCCAAAAGAATATAGTAAAATTTCTACATATATTTTAAAAAATATGTTTCTGTCTATGGTCCATTTTACTATAATTTATATTAAGGCTGAGCTTGGTTATACTCTCATATAAATTATAAAAAATAAACTCCTGATAGCATGTTGCCATAATTTTGAAGAATAAAAGAAAATTCAGAGTCAAATTGTATTCTAGGTATTTTATACAAAGCTTAGATTTATATGCATAAAAGTGATTTCATAAATTTCATAAAAGTTGGATGGCATTAGAAAGCCTTCCTAGTTATGAAAAATGAAAGGAATTAGCCTGTTCTCCAGGGAATTGCATCATGTACAACAAGGGCTTTTTGTGCCTTTCAGCCCACGGAGTAACTCTTCTCAATGTAGGATACAAGCATCCCACTTTGATTCTTCAGTTAATGATGAACAATCCATCCTTCGGAAATTCCAGAAAGATAAATGAAGCACCACGTGTAACACCTCAGAACTAATTCAAATTGCTTACTACATTGCTACACATAAAATTACCGAAAACATTGGGTAGAGCATTAATCCCTTCTTCTCTTACTGTCTTTTAAAAAGCGTATAACATTCTCAGACAGTTTGACTTTTCAAAGGTAATCCCAAGCAACCTTTATCTGAATGCATACCCTTTAATAGTTTACTAACATTCAAAACCCTTGGTGAAATCTCATCTCAGTTTGGCTTAATTTAGAATGGTTTGCAAGCACTAACTCTTAAGTGAATACATGACGGTCATGACTTAAAACAGAGAAAATGTGGGGTGTGGAGAGATGGCTCAGTGGCTAAGAGAATGTAGTGTTCTTGCAGAGGATACATTCCTAGCATCTGTGTCAGGTGGCTAACAACCTGAATCTGAAACCGCTGGTCTTGTAGGACCTGATATAAATGTGCACACCCCACCCTCACAGACTCATAATCATACGCATGACTTAAAATAATAAAAAGCAATAGGACAATTTTTCTATTTGTAGTTCCCAGATAAGGCCTTGGATAGAAAGAAAGCCCAGTGAATAAGCAAAATGTAATGGGATTTGGTAGTTCTTTCTGTCTAGTGGAATTAGCACTACTTAATTAACTGGTACCAGCAGGACTGGCAGAGCTTTAGATGTTAGGCAAGCCTTCAGAAGTGCACAGAGTGAACAATGATTGAAAGTATTTCAGTAACAGTATAAACTGGTACGTGTCTGGGTGTACTTGAGTTTCCTTTGTAGCATCTCTTTAAAACCTGTTGGGTAAGTATGTTACAGGAAGCCCTGATGTGAATGCCACACAATATTTGTGCAATGAGTGCTGTCACAGGAATTACTCTAAAGGGCTGAGGCAGAGAATGGCATATGATGTTGATGAGATTGTACAGAGATGTAAGGAAGGCCAAGAGTTTGAACACTGAGAGAGCCCATGCTGTAAACAGAGACCTTCAAAGGGAAAATGGCAACGTCAGTGTGAGTGCCGGCAAGTGAAGAGCCAGGATGGTAATTCCAGAAGGAACCCTCATAGGAATACTTAAGGGACCATTTGAGCTGCACCGGCTCCAGGAGAGAGCGAATGTCAAACTGGAAATGCCAATTGCACATGTGATAATCTAACTACAGCAGCAGATAGACTCCCAGAAGAATATTTGAAGAGAAAAACAGAAGAAAGGCTGCTTCTTGGGAAATACTCATTGGTAGTGCTGAGAGGAAGCCAGGGAGGGAGGTGCTGTGTGCACATGGTCTCAGAAGTCAGCAATGGGAGAAAATGAGTCAGAGCTGAGCAGTACTGTCAGAGAAAATAAGGCTAAGACCACAGACTCATGAGAATGAAAATAATGGGAAATACCTTTGGACTGATTAGGATACCAGTGAGTGTGAGCAAAGTGCTTTTGATAAAGACATTGTGGCAGAAAGGAGAATCTAGGAGTCGAACCAAAATGAGGATAAAATAGAAAAGCTCTGCTCAAAACAAGCAGAATTGTCGAGAAGGGCAGCAATAGGACTAAGTGAAATGCTAATTATCCATAATTATCAGCAGACACAAAACATGGAACAAAACAGGCTGAAGCAGCTCCAAAGCCTGTTGCCTAATGATAGGAAAAACTGCTGTCATGGACAGAATTCAGCTCTGTTCAAAGCTCCCCCTGGCTCCCATGTATAAGGTGTGTAAGGTTTTCTTTCTCACAGACCACCTGTTCTTTCTTTCTTTCCACTTCATCCCAGCCATTCACCGGCAAAACTGATCATAGTCTCAGATAAACAACATATTGGAGAACCATCCCCCTCAAAGCAAAAGCATGTATGAAAAGGCTTTGAGAAAGTAATAAGATATTTTTCCACAGTGGGGAAGAAATGGGGATAAACCTTTCAAAATGGTAAGCAGGCTATCAACATAAGCCCTTTAACTTCTTTAGGGAGGCAGAGTACTTGCCTGCGTGCATGCATTTGTGTGTGTGTGTGTGTGTGTGTGTGTGTGTTGTAATGGGAGATCTTGAATGGTGGAATAATGTTGATATCTACAGAAGTGCTGACTTGGTGAGTGAACATCATGAAATCCTAACAGAAACAGAAGTGACCATTCACACCTGTTACCCCAGTATTTACACGAGTGAGACAAAAGGGTCACTTACAATTTGAAAGCAGGCTAGGCTATAGGGCAAGATCGTATCTCAATAATTAATTAATTTGTGTATAGCCTAGTAGAAGCTGGAAAGCTGTTTTATTAGCAGTATATACTGTTCTGGATGATAAATTCTAGTGTGTTTTATTTGAGAAAAGCATGACTGGGTGAAGACATGATCAGCAATTAACACCACACACCAATTCTTACAGAGGAACCAGTTTTGGTTCCCATCACAGAGGTGGTGACTAATACTCTATGGAAAGCCAGTTCTAGGAGATCTGATGCCCTCTTCTGGCCTCCATTGGTCCCAGGCACACAAATTGTGCATGCATAAATGGAGACAAACCTTCTCTAATGCCCTCCTATTACCTCCACTGATACGAGTTACAAAAATGCTACTTACATACATGGTGACAAAAACACTCAGGTATGTAAAATAAAAAGTTAATATTTTTTAAATAGGAAAAACACATATGCAGGATAGCAAGATGCCTTACCTGGTAGAGTACTTGCTTCAAACCTGATGGTAACTTGAGCTCAATACCCGGGACACACATATTAGAGGAAATGATCCCTACATGTGGTCCCTACAAATATACACACAATGTATTAGGGGGACATAATAACAAACAC